CAGCCCTGGAAGCCAAAGAGAGTCCTCTTGTCTTTGCGGACTGGCTGCAAAGCCCCATGCTTCAAACACTCCATGCCAAAATCCTGTTCGGATTTCAAGATGGATGCAGCAGCAAAGGGATCAGAACAAAAGGGCTGCCCACCACAGGGATTCAGCCCCACATGGGACCAAGTCTCTCTGGCAGGCAGCTCTTTCACTCTGTCTGCATAACAATCCAGGAGATCACTTAATGACTTCAACAGGGAGCACCAGGATTGTAGTCATTGAGTGAAGCAGGCACATGACATCTCATTCACTCAACAAAGATTCCAGTTCAACTGCTGCTGTAAGTTGAAGATAACTCCTAAAGAGATTGACATTTTATGTTGAGAATCTATATTTTGTGACAGTATGTTATGTGAATCTAGCCTTCTGAATTCACTGTGGTATTGAAAAGATCTTCAGAGACAGCATCAGTATTCCACAAGACTAGTTTTTTTTTCTTTGAGAAAGAGAACAAACCAATGTAAGATATTATAGTTCCATTAAAAAAGTAACAAATCAACAAAAAACCAGAAAAAATGCAAATACTAATTCAAGCAATTTTATATTCATGTTTCATTTATATTTCATTTATTTTAATATCTCTGAGATTGGTAGAAACTCAAAAAGTTAAGATAATGGAACTGAAACTTCAATAGCATATGGATTGATGTCATCATTCAACCACACCAAAACAAGAATCAACTGGATATCAGGGTTGACAGACAAGCTACAAACATAAAGTTTTAGGAAAGTTTTAGGAAAGTTTGTAAAGATTTTATTTTAAAGAAGGGAAGAATAAACTGGGTGGGAAATAATTTTATGGTTCATTATAGGGCTGGATCTAGTTAGTACTTGGAGATCACGAGATAATTACAGTGCTGTGGATTAGAATGGGAAGTCAAACAGACATTCAAGAAGAAGACAATGGCAAAACTCTTCCAAATTCTTGGTAAGAAAACTATATGGAAATAGCTATATAATTTCCAGAAATTTTAATTAATAAAGTATTTATTAGTCACCCAATTCCAATGTATTCTGGAAAGCACACAAAACTAAACAAGACATAAGACATAAAAAAACAGCTAAAATATTAAATCAACAATAACAAGCAAATAAAAAACTGAATTCTTGATGGATGATTCTACATCATTCTTGGGCTTAACGTGACAATAATTAAAACAACAAATGCAAGACAGTTGGTCTCATGGTTAAGACACCAGGATAGATAGCTGGAGACTGTGAGTTCTATTCCGGCCTTAGCCATGAAAGCCAGCTGGGTGGCCTTGGACCAGTCATTCTCTCTCAGCCCAACTCACCTCACTGAGTTGTAATGGCAAAAATAGGAGGAAGAAAGTGTGTTGGATATTGTTCACCACTTGAGTTATTTATGAAAATAATAAAGTTGGGATATAAATTAAAAAATTAAATAAGTAATTGGCAGCCCAGACTAAAATTTTCTAATGATAAAACCCACAAAACAAAGCAGGGTTCATCAAACAAACAACAAACATTAGCCCCAGACCTGGGACCAAGCCAGGTTTTTGAAACTTTCTAAAATCCTAGGAGAGACAGTGCTGGTTTTATCTCGTGAAGGCACGACAAACTGATCAAGACATGAGGAAATCTCCATCTCTCTCCATCAGTGGTGTGAACTGTAACTTGATTTTCTCATAAAATTACTGTGTTTAAGTTATAAAATTCAGAAATATGAATAGAGGGATAATTTTGCACAAAATATCAGATTACCAAGAATTCAACTGCAACATACAAGACTTATTAAAATATATTATTTTAGTAACTACAGCAAAATTGAGTTTCAAAATGGAATTTAGAGCTTACATATTTCAGTAAAGTATTATGCTTGCTTTCCACTGTTATTTGTAATTCTGCAAAATCTTTAGATCTGCTGAGTCTCATGTACAATTAGGACAATCAGTTTCTAATTGAATTTCTACAGGAATAAATGGTCTGTTACGCACTTTATTATTTCTCTAGTCTTTTGAGACGTAGTCAGGTTAACAAGAGCAGAGCAATATTTATCAATATTGACAAAAGTAAATAAGAGCACCTACAAGTACAGAACACACTGGATCCTCTTTCTTCTCTTGTGCCAAAGAAATATGGCAAAATTTCTTTTCTCCTCAGTTCAAATAGTTATTAATCTTTCTATATTGCACTTAGAAACATTCTCCCTTGTTTTAAGGAACAAAGTTCAGGTTGAATAAAGGGTTTGAATATAAAAATACCTTGTCTGAAATTTTTATTCATAATTCTAAAACAAAATATTTTAAAATTTTCATTTTTCTAATTAAAAATGCATGAAAAAAATAAAACTTGTTTCATTTTTCTCAGTTCTTTGAATTCCTGGTCAAAGTTTTTTCAGCTGTGCAGAAATTTGAGCAAATAAGATATAAAATATAAAAGCAAAGTGCTCCATATTTTGGTTATTTATTTATTTTGGCACTTCCAGGTTAGTCTTGACTCCTGGTAACTGTTTGAATTAGTCTCTGTAGTTTTCTTGGCAATGTTTTTTAGAGATTGTTTCCCAATGCCTCCTTCCTAGGGCTGAAAGTGACTAGCCCAAGGTCCTCAGGTTAACTTTATATTCAGGGCAAAATTAGAACTCCTGGCATCTCAGTTTCTAGTCTGATGTCTTAACTACCATACAAACTATCTTGCATTATTATTTTAGTTACTGTCACTCTAAGCCCAAGAATGATGTAGAATTCCCAGCAAGAATTCAGTTTATTCGCGTATACACAGACATTCTCACCCCAATAGATATACCCTGGGAAATTCTATGGCTGTACCAAGTCTCTTCTTCAGCTCCCAGCTGTGCTGCCTCTTTTTTCCCTCACTCCTTTCTGGATTGTGTTCCATCTTCCTGGGAAACTGCCACTTCATTGTGGTCCCTGTCACACCAGCTCCCCTCCATCTCTCAAGGTTACCCATTAAAACTAATTTGCTCAGTTTTTATTTGACAGTTTTCATTGTAATATATAGTTCATTAAGAAGATGAGATGTTATGTTGGAATTATCACACTACTCCTTTTTATTTTATATACAACAGCACTTGCATTTAGGCTACCACCTACCCAAATGCATGTTGCTGAAAAAGAGGACTACTGGTTTAACTGAATATTTACATGTGAAGGCTGTTTCCTACTCAACAATATATCTCAACAATTTTCTCAGCAGTTGGTCTCTGTTGGTGTTGACAGGATGGGAGGATCTGAATGAAGCAGAAGAGACTCAGGCTCAATCCTGACAAGACTGGAGATCTTCCGTCCTTGTTCATGGATAGGATTGGACTTTGATAGGATTGCACCACTCAAGACTGGTGTACAACCTGATGGTTGCAGTGGACTCACAACTCCTACTCAAAAAGCAGATGACAGTTGTAGTCAAATGGTCTTTGTGCAAGCACATCTACTGCACCAGTTGTTCCCTTTCCTGGATTAGGAGCTAATTTAGAAAGATGCCTTAATCACCTCACAAATGAATTACTGTAATGCATTCTACATGAGGGTCCCTTGAAGACCATTTGGAAGCTCCTGCTGGTCAAGAATGCAGCAGCGAGGGCAGCATTGAACATCCTTCAAAATTTCCAAAAAAGTTCAAAATTTGCCCCTACACATTTGGGGAGCTCTTGGGGGAATGCTGGCAAGTTGCATGTTGTACCTTGTGTTCTTTCATCCCCTTCTTCATTAGCACACAATCACGTACAAGCTTAAACATAAATAATGACACATATGCTTCAGGTACTTGGAGGTAAATAACCACGCGTTCCTTGCCAGACTCTTACTTTGCTGCCCATCTAGCTTTCCAGCCCTATTTTCCACTAATGTTAGGGACAAGTCTTCTGAGCTGATAGATATTATTATTATTTCTTAGTAACATCCAATTCAGTACTGTTTCTCAAGTATTGCTAATTGAGAAGCTAATTAATTACATGCAGCCCACTTTAATGCATGCTTTAATGCTAAATTTCCTGGTTTAAGTATCATCTAGCCATGGATTTCTATTTCTGTGAGAAGGTTTGCACAAATAGACAATTCCATCCAATTCTATTGTTTTGTGGTTAGTTTTAAATCATTGGAAGGAGAGTAGAATATAATAGAAATAAAACACATTTAACCTACCAGTCCTACAGATAATTATGCTCTTGTTTCCTCACACCTTTATTTTAAAAATGTACTATCTACCATTTATCCCTTGGTAAATTAGAATAGGATTAATTTTTAGCACAAGGCAGCAGAAGCAAATCCTATTCTAATTCTGTACTCAATGATGTCACAATTAAAATTAGAAACTCAGCATGTGGGCAAAGCTTTTTTATTCATTACAATGCTATAATAGACATAGAACATGGGAGTTCTGTCCTGACCTTATAGGTTTGCCTCCCCCTAATTTCTAATTTCCTGTATATTTTCATTGTAAAAATTGGGGGATTTTTAGCTGAAATCTTTATGCACATACTAATTTTACAGTAATCTGAATTAAGAGCAGTGAGATTGGGAGCAGAGATTGTATATTTAGAATTAATGCTTTTTTAATCTCTCTAGTTTAACAGCATTAAAATGACTTTCAAGGTTTGATTCACTTAATATTCATTTGAACTAAAACAAATTGAGACTGGAGCTAATGTGAATCGTGCTAATCATATAGTACACTAATTGTTTGACCAAGAGGGAGCAATCTGCAAATTTCAGAATCCCTTTCTTGCAGCTCCCGGATCTTCTATTATTACATTGCTGAGTGAGGCTACTAAAAATCAATGTGGTCATTTCCCTCCATGTTTTCCCACAATTTTGAAGTAAACATGAAGCAACAAAATGTAAGAAAACAAACAAACAAGCCTCCAAAATAGAAGACATTGGCCTTAGTCATGTTTAACAAAAAACCCCAATATGTTCCAGCATGAAATAGTTTCTCTTTGATTTCTAGGAAAACTAGAATATAAGCAACAAACATACCTCCACAAAGAACTCTCCAACACTTTGCCCATATCAGTGTGGTAATACTTGGTAAGGATCAGAATTACCTAAAACAAAACATGCAAAAAGAAAACTAAGCTATACATATACATATATACATACTTAAATTATACATATTAACATGCAAAAAAATAAACAAACTCATAACACTTAAATTCTAAGAAGTATTAAATTATCCATTGTTATCACTTCTTTTTAAAAAGTTGAGCATGGCTTCTTTGCCTTTTTGTGGTGAGAGAGGTATCAAAGGGGCTTACTGCCAAACAGACAGATCTAGGTTTGCATTGTAAACCAAGTATGTCTCAGAAAATCAGATTGATGCAGCTATTTCTTAGAATTATGAAATTAAATGGACTTATTCCTTGCAAAGTGTACATAGGTTTACAGTTTAAATTAACATATACAATACAGATCTTCTTAATGAACATTATAAGTAAACTATAATTAAACTTCTAGTCTTTAGATGCATTCTCACATAATGCTAAGGCATCATGCAGTTTATCTGTTTCTTATACTTGAACTCATCCCATAAATAAAATTGAGGGGGGTTTTTTCTGGCAAAACATCCTTTGAATCCTTGGCTTAGAAATGTATGTTCACAATGTATGTTCTTATAATCGCTGAAGCAGAACCTATGGTTTGCTCTGAATTGTTTGTGTTCCTTATTCAAGTCCCCTACCAAGGAAGAGGTGGGAGGCAAGGCAAGCTGTCCTACTGCTCACTTGTTCTCAATGAAGTTTTTCCTAAATTAGCTCTTTGGCTATGTTCTGCTTGGTAACAAATGTTACTTAATGCCTCCACCCTGTCTTTTAAGACTGGCTGCCTACCCTTTCAGCTCTACATCCAGCAGAACGAAAGAGATCTCAAAAGCAAGAGAAAGTAGGGTTGGTCAAGCCTATTTTGAGCTTCACAATACCTGGAAAACTGATAGATGTTCATTGTACAGAAAAACTTTCATTTTTTTTTCACTGCTCTTTTCCTCCAAGATAGTCTAGAGCAGGGGTGTCCAACCTTGGCAACTTTAAGACCTGTGGACTTCAACTCCCAGAATTCCTCAGCCAGCCAGAATTCTGGGAGTTGAAGTCCACAAGTCTTAAAGTTGCCAAGGTTGGACACCCCTGCTCTAGAGGTCTTCTGGAAACCAGATAAATGTGTGCTCAAATCAGCTATTGTATTACACTGGGACTTTAGCAGGGTCATGCCACTTTTTTTTTTCCTAAGAGAACTTTAAGGATGAATATCTAGCTCACTACTGGAAGGCAATTGTCCTGTTGATCTGACCCTGAACTAGGTTTATATTTTCTCTAATTATAGGCTTTGCTGTATTAATCATTACGGGTCCTTATTATTCAATTCCAAAGGAACCGAGGACATACATATTCCTTTTCCAAAATTAGTTCCTTTTCCAAAACAGCTCTTTGGGGTCATGCCTAATCAGGGTCTAATATATCACAGGTTCTAGTATCTCGATGAAAATTTAGTTCTACAGCATAAATCTATAGATTCTGTTTTGTAACTGGCCAAATTTGATGCTTGATGGAACTTTTTCCTCCCAAGACTAAGATGTAGTTTAGGAAACTATGCAGTAATTCCACAACTCTGTCTCATAATTGCCCATCACTCAGGAGAGTCAGCATTTGGATCTAGAAATGCATATGAACTATCAGACAGATGCTTATTTTTAGTAACACTCTGGTTAAATGTTTAATTTAGTCAGCTTAATCAGTGTTGCTGTTAATTATATTACTGCAGAAGAGGAGAGTGAGGAAATTGAGTAGGGTGAAAGTGATACATGACTGAAAACTGCAATTATCTTTAAATGAGTCCCAGAGGGAAGGAAGAGATTGGTGAAGTAGGACAGATGAAAGAAAAGATCATCCAGGTTCGTGATCAGGGGTGGGTTTCTACCGGTTCTGTCCACCTCTGTAGAACCGGTAGCTCTGAAGAGCAGCAGACAGAACCGGTTCTATGTCTGCTGATGCTTTTGCTCACCCGGCCGCTCGGGCTCTTACCTGACCTTTATTTCCTGATTTTTCAACTTCAGCTGCCCAAGGAGCCACAGCTGCAGTTAAAAAAACAACCAGAAAAGAGGGCTGTTTCAAAGGCTGCTTCTTGGCATGCAGCATGCTGATGCGTGGCTCACAGAGGGCAGGGAAGCTCGTAAATCCTGAACCGGTGGTTAACCCTGTCGTATCCCACCCCTGTTGGTGATACTAGTTCCTGCCCTATACCCACAACAGAACTGAACAGAAAAGGACTGAGGTCTTGGCTATAACAAAAATACCAACAAGGAATAATTCAAACCCCTACATGGGAAACTGCTTCAGAGGGCAATAGAGAAGTAACCATGAATGACACAAAGTAACAAAGATCAAACTTAGAGGGTGGAATCTGGTTTGCAGGAAATCAAGGAGAGAAAGGAGAACAGAAGTGGAGATTTTCAATTGGCTCCTTCAGAAAAGAATTCATGGAGACCAGTGACATGGAGAAAGAAAAGAGTGGCAGGGAGAGAAGGAATACCATGGCTGCAGAAAGGAAGTGACCCAGAAGCAGAGCTAGATTAATCAAACCTGGACTTGAACTTTTCAGATCACATGTTACAGATGCAGCTGAGAAGGGCCGAAGTGTTCTTGTCTCGTGTTATGATTTTATTAGGTAATGCATGATAATACTGCATGGAGAGCAGGGAAAACCTCCTGGAAAGATTTGGAGGAAGCTAGCTATGTGGCTGAAGGCAAAAGAAAGTATAGTTAAGTATTAGGGTAGACACAGGGGTATCTGGTTAATACAACATGCTTGCTTGTATGCATCAGTGTAAACCAAAGAGTGGGGCTGAATGGAGCATGTGAAGATAGATGGGAGAAATTATTGTCTGTCTCTGGAGCTAAGGCAATCGGGACCCAAACTGGGATAGTGACAGGCAGGAGAAGTTACAACACATCACCCTGGGCATGTTTCTGCAGAAGAAGGGGACATCCCAGTTCTAGGGCTGCTTGTAAAGGACAGATTATAATCAGGTTGCATCCAACTCTGATATGATGGTGGATGAAGATGCTGATCTGGTAGATATTACTAAGAGTTGGCTGGGCAGTGATGATCAGGAAATTGTCTACCTGGGCTTCAGTCTATAGTAACTGCAATGACAGTGCTGGGGAGGGCAAGTAACCATGGTGGTATACAAGACATGTTCTTTTTTTACCTGCTCCCTACTGAAGGTAGGAACAGATAATTAGCCATTTTAAGAATGTGGTGGAAGAAAATTTCATACAGAGGGAGAATGGGGAAAAGAGACAGAGAGAGGAATTGCACATACACATTTCATTCCTCATAAGAGCACATATTTCCTCTCAGGTTGACAGACACATTTAAGATCCAATAAACAGGGCATACTTTCAAAATACCGGTGGACTCAGGATAAAGTGTGGCTTAATTAAAACATATAGATAGTCCTCATCTTAAGACATTCATTCTAATTCAGAAAGAATTAAAAAAATAAACAAAACTGTCAGACTTGACTGAATTTGAAAAGTTTCTAACACAACATTCAGAAGCTCTGTTTATAAGATTATAGAAATATGACTTAGAAACTGAAAAATAATTTTCTTAAAGTTTCAAATATTTCATAAAATGAAATAAAATACCTTAAAAAAAGAAAACAGACTACTTAGAAACTCTGGACTATATAAAAGTGCTTAATATAGTTAATTTCCCCTTTGTACATTAAGAAAATTGATTTAAAAGTTAAATTGTGCAGTGACATAAATATATATGCATGATTGGTTTGCATTAACATATAATAAAGATTTTTTGTGGCAGATTTTTCTTAATTTTTCCTTTAAATTCTTTTAAATTTAAAACCATATTATTTAAACATATCTTTTTAAATATCAAGAGAAGTATTCAGTTGCTATTTTAAAAAAGTAATAAACTATACCAGATATAAAGTAACTCATTGCAAAGATTATACTGAGTGTATGCTTGCTATTTGAGTTGCTTTATCAATCACCACATTTAACCTCTTTTTGAAAAAAAATGAGTACCAATGCTCAATATATCTGCAGTTATGGAAATTACATTATCATTCCATCTTTATATAAAAGATGAACAATAGCCTTTAATTTTTATTTTAAATAAACAGCTGCTGTCTCCTTTTACATGATGATGTACAGTGATTCCACAAAAATTGAATGAATTAGTTGTGGTAGTTCACTGACACCCCCCCCCCCATCCTGCAAATCTTGTCTAAAATGCGTCATTAATCTGGAAAAGCACAAAAAATGAAATAACCAACACAGAATGCCTCCACATTATGAAATAATTGCCTCAATTTTAAGACACATTGTTTTTGGTCGATGGATATTAATTGGTATTGGCATTTATGGAGATTTTTAAACTCAGGTTTAAAGATCAATACTCTTTCCTCCAAAATCATGTTCTTAAAAAACTATCATAAAATGAAATAGGATGGGAACTGAGTTCTAATTTTCATGAGTAACAACACACCTCTCATCCAAATGGGATATCCTAGAGAATCTCAAAATGTGGTTCCATTCTTACATTGCCAAGAGAAAGCTTGTGTCTCTTTGTGTGCAAGCATGCACACACATGTCCATTTGTAATCATCAAATGGGGTGGGGGAGGGACAGGGACTGGATGAGTCCCAATGTGGTCCTGTAATAGGGAAATCTGGAACAAGCAACATTTCTACGTGTAAAAGGGGAAGAAGATTCCCTCCTTTCACAATCCTTAGAGTTACACCGGGCATACAAAATATCCAAGTTGAGAGAGATTTAAACGGCCAAATATACTTCCACTGACATCTGGGAGATCATGAAATTGATATTAAAAAACGGGGTTCTTGTTTCTAACAGGCGGGGGAAGGAGCAGAGGAAAGAAATCTCGTTGTTTTTCTGGAGCCGGTGTTTGGAGCAGGCCCCGTCAGAGATATTAACTTATTCCAAGCAATTCGGAAGCAACGGCATTTGTACTGCTTAATGAGCCGAAGCAGGCAAAACCCAAGAAAACGTGAGTCCCATTCGCCCGTTTACCGGTACACGTCAAGCTTTCTTTCCCCGGATTGGAAGCCTTGAGGTCTGTCTGACCAGTTGAGGATGGAGCGTGCTTTAGAGACGACGGGAAAAGCCTCCGCTAGGCTTCCGAAAGGCATCCTTAGAGGAGGGCCGAAGAGGGTCTTCCCTTCCCCACCCAAAGGTGGCACACGTCACTCCCCCTCCCCCTTCCCGCTGAAGGCGAGGGCGCCATGAGGACTCCGCTCTCCAAGCAGGAAAGCCCGCAGCTGGAGGGGCGATCCCAGCTCGCAAGGAGAGCGGCGCCGACGAAGCACTTACGCTGCTATTGTCGCCCGTCCAATGCACCATCGCTTGGTTGTGAGCCGCGTCACCTTTTAGGACGAAAGAGGTGCTAAACAAGGAAGCCGACTCCGGGGCTCCCGCGGTACGATCCCGCAGGCCCTCCTCCTCCTCCTCCCGCGGGCTGCTCCGTCTCTGGCGGTGCAGCCAGTCGTGGGGACGCGCCGCCCGGGAGGCGTCCAGCGCAAGCAGCAGGAGCAGCAGCGGCAGCAGCGTTAGCGGCATCCCGAAGCTCGAGGCTCCCCTTTGCTGGAGAGCTGCTGGCGCCCCGCTCGGCCTCCGCTGCTGCACTGCCGCCGGGCAAAGACCGGAGTCTGGGAGATGAGCGAGCGCGCGGGAGGCTGAGCCCGAGATGGAGGGAGCGTCGCGATGTTGCGCTGCGTGGGAAACAACGTGTCTGAGCCTCCACGCCCAGTTCAGGAGCGGCGCTGCCCTCTGCCGGCGCTCTTTGGTGGCTTTGCTGGATGCCGAAGAGCACCCCGGCCGGCGGGCTTCATCTAGCAGACGAGACTGCGCAATTTCGCCGTGGGAGGAAAGCGTGGCCGAACAGTGGTCAGCCCCTGGATGAGAACATCTCGCTCACGCGGTCGGTTTGAAGACTTGGAGTGCCACCTTCTGAGGGAGCCCCGCAAGCAATCCAATCATCGAATAGCAAAGAATATCAAACGGCATTCTTTTGATGATAGGAAGGGGTTATGGTTTGAACTTGATGGGTAAATTATCTCGTGAGGGATAATACAGGAAGGTTACTAGTTCTGGGAAAGAATCAGACTTGGACCTATTTAATTTGTACTGGGTTGTTCCTCAGAGCTCAGAATGTCATAAATGGCTTCCATCTGTAATTTCATCCTTTCAACAACCTTCTAAAGTAGGTTATGCTGGGAACAGGAGGATTTAACAATTCAGTTTTCACTTTTGTGGTCAAGCCTGAAAAAAAAAACAGCCCTGCAAGATCAAGATTTCATCATTCCGGCATTCAGTGTCATGCTGTAAAAAGAGGCAGCCCTGAACACTCACAGTAGAAGAACAAGTAGAAAATATGAAACCAAGATACCAATCAGAAAACAATCAACATTATGGCTATTATGCACTTCTTTGGGTTAAAATACTGAACTCAAGAGCTAGATGACAACAATGAGGATTCATTACATTAATCTTAATTTTTCTTTCAGCAGTCTATTGCAATTGTCATCAATGCACCCTAAAACTCTTAAGAATTGTGCACCATGAATATGTTCCTGTGCAAGAAAAAATTAAAAAGAAAAGTGCTGTTTCATAACACAGGTGTAATCTACTACACTACAAGCTACTTCATTTATTTGTAAAGTTTTTAAATGTTCCAACAAGAACCAATTCTAAGACCATACAAGTCCCATTCTGTGCATCGAAATAAAAATATAACAAGGCAATGTACTACCATATAACACAATAATATTGCTTATGTGAGATCTTATTGGGCTATAGCTGTTTTCAATCATGTTTTAAACATAATTTATTATTTATCCATATCATTGAATTATTACTGATAATTTTTGACAATGTATAATAAAATTATCAGATATCAATTGTTTTTCCCTTTCCACAACTTTTATTTTCTTAATTATTTTACCGTCCAGATTTTTTTCCCTATGCAATCAGTCTTTTAGAACTGCAATATCTACTCTTATCAATAGAATTAAACTACTGTCATTAATACATCACATTTAAACACAATTTATCAATTAATTCAATTTTCTAGGTTTGCTTAACATATTAAACTATTAACCATCATTATAGGCAAAGTTTATACAGGAAAGTCCTTAACTTAGGACCACAAATGAGTCCAAGATTTCTGTTGCTAGCAAGGCAGTTGTTAAGTGAGTTGTATCTCATTTTATGACTTTTGCCAGTTAAGCAAATCACTGTAGTTGTTAAATGAATCACGTAGTTGTTAAGCAAATCTGTCTTTCCCCATTGACTTGCTTGTTGAAGCCAGCTAAGATTAGAAATGATAATCACGTGACCCTGGGACAAGGCAGCAGTTATAAATACATGCCAGTTAGCTAGTGCCCGGATTTTGATCCTGTGACCATGAGGAGACTGCAAAAGTTGTAAGTGAAAGTCACTTTTTTTAGTGTTGATGTAACTTTGAACAGTCACTAAACCAGGGATCTTCAAACTTGACAGTTTTAAGACTTGTGGACCTCAACTCCCAGAATTCCTCCTCCAGTCATGTTAACTCAGGAATTCTGGGAGTTGAAATCCACAGGTCTTAAACTTGCCAAGTTTGAAGACCCTTGCACTAAACAAAATAGTTGTGAGTCGAGAAAGACCTGTATTGATTGCTAAACTAAAATGTGGTTCTTCCTGGTTCTGGTTTCTACCATTTTCTTTTATTATTTTTCTACTTCCTTAAAATAGTTTTGTTCCTAATTTGTATATTTATGCAAATATTTTTTCTAAATTTTAATGATTCTCCCCTTTTATTTCTGGACCACCATTTTAAATGCATGCAGGTGGTTTTAGGGAGTAAAATTACTACCTGTATACTACTAAGACACTTGAGTGTTTGATACTTTGTAACTTTCAGTTGGGGAAAATATTGTATCATAGGGCAATACTTTGTCAACAAAGGTACATTAAATAAGGCCTAGGACCCTGATGGCGAACCTATGGAATGCGTGCCAGAAGTGGCACACAGAGCCCTCTCAGTGGGCATGCATGCCATCATCAGCTGCTCTTCTGGCTTTTGGCATGCCAGCCAGCTGGTCTTTGTGAGTGCTGGAGCACTGGAAAATGGCCCCAAAATGGCCCCCAAACCAGGTCATTTGGGGGCTGTTTTCAGGGCATTTTCAAGCCAAAAACAGCATGAAAAATGGTCTGAAAATTGCCCAGAAAACGGTTTGAAAATGCCCCACAAAACAGCCTGAAAACAGCCCCACAAACGGCCCCAAAACAGGCCATTTTGGGGCCAAAAACGGCCCTGAAAATGCCCCCCCCATGACCAAAAGTGGCCAAAAGACAGGCATGCATGCACCAGCCAGCTGGTCTTGAGTTTTCCGGTGCTCTGGCACACACACATCCACACACATTTCAGTTTGGGCACTTAGTGCCAAAAAGCTTCGCCATCACTGGCCTAGGACAACTCACTGTGGCCAGCTCACTGCTTCCAGCTTGTCACTGCCAAATCGCATATGCCAATTCACTGCCTTCAAGTCACCACAAAATCTACACAGCCAACTTGCCATGGGGGACAACTCACTATGGGTGGCTGGAGAAAGATTTAGGGGGATGAGTGAATGAGTGGGGGGTGGGCAGAGTGCAGACCCAGTGGCCGGGGGCTTCCAATTTCCACACACACACCCCACTCCTGCTGCCAGCACATTGAACTCCAGATTGAAAAGGCTGGGAACAGTGGTGGCAGCGGTGGTTGGGGCAGGCAGTGGTGGTAGTCAGGGATTTTCACACCATCCCTGCTGCCACTGCCACTACACCAAGCTCAAGGCTGAAAGGCCAGGGACAGTGGTAGCATGTGGAGCAAGCAGCCGGAAAGCAGCGGAGGCCAGGGGCATCCCATTTTCATAGATGCCCCGGCAGCCCCACTGCTGCTGAGCTTCAGGCCGAAGAGGTCAGGGATAATGGTGGGTGGAGTGGGAAAACAGCAACAGTTAGGGGGATGTCCCAATTTCACACACACCCCGCCACTGCCACCCCCAACCTCTTTGGCCTGGAGCTCCACACAGCAACGGCAGCAGCAGTAGCGGGGTGTGTGCAAATGGGATGCCCCCCAGCCATTGCTTCCTACCCACCCACTGCCACTGTCCCTGACCTCTTCAGTCTGGAGCTTGGCATAATGGCAGTGCCAGTGTGCAAATGGGACATCCCTGGCCGCTGTCACCACTTTCCCAGGCCTCTTTGGCCTGGAGCTCAGCGGCAGCAGCTGGGGGTGGGGTTGTGTGTGAAAATAAGAAGTCTCTGGCTGCCACTGTTGCTCTATGCTTTGTTCACCCTCTTGCTTGCCTGTCTGCTCAGCTCTGCCTCTGGCTGCCCGTGGTGAGTTGTTCTTGTGTAATTGTCCTGTGGTGACTTGGCCGAAGTGACTTGGCAGTGGCAAGCTGGTGGCAGTGAGCTGATCATGCCAAGCTGGCCGTAGCGAATTGCCTCTTTCTGCCTCAAATGGGCTAATTTATGGAATGCTGGGATGCATTAAATTTGAAATTATGAAATTTGGGGATTTTTTTTGTTGCTGTGCTACTATTTAACATTGCTGCCACACTGCCATGGTCAGCTGCAGTCACGTGATCCTCATTTTCAACATTCCCGACAGTTTTCTAAAAGTCAGTGGGGAACCTGGACGGGATTGTTATAATTGTTGGGGAAAAGTCAATGCAGAAATATTCCAGTCCCTCTGTGCTTGCACTGTGCTGACCACTCAGGTATTTACTTGCTCTCTCTACCTCTAGGCAGCTGACACTTACCTGCCTGCTGGAAAACGAAGGGAAGAGTGAGTGAGGAACAGGGATAGAGGATGGGGGGAAGAAAGGGAGAATGGAAAGGATGGGAGGAAGGATGGAAAGAAAAGGAAGGGAAGGAGGAAAAAAAGGAGATAGGAAGGATGGAACAGGAGGAAGAAAGAAAGACAGAGAAACAGGGAGGAAGATAGATTTCTATTGATTTCTTTAACCATTAGGAATTTTCTTAGTTCTAGGTTGCTTCTCTCCTTGTTAAGTTTCCATCCATTGTTACTTGTCTTGCATTCTGGTGCTTTGGAAAATAGTTTGACACCCTCGTCTTTGTAAGAGCCCCTCAAATATTGGAACACTACTATCATGTCTCCCCAATCCTTTTATTCATTAGACTAGACATACCCAATTTCTGTAACCATTCTTCATATGTTTTAGCTTCCAGCCTCTTAAACATTCTTGTAATCATTCTTGGTAAGCTCTGGCCTGGAAATCACCAGTTTACATGAGTTAGGATATTAACTGCCCTTGGGCCTTGCAAGTTCAGTATGTTGAGTCAAGATCATGGCCAAACTAATCTAGAAGCCCCAGATAAGTTAAATAGTACAAGAATAGGTTAACTAGAACTACAAGATCTAGATCAGTGGTTGCCAACCGGTGTGCTGCAGCCCACTGGTGGTCCGTGAGAAAATTTTGGTGGTCTGCAGAGAAATGTCACCCCCAGAGCAATTAATTCAGGCTGCGCAGGAATACAAGGCTGCACCACCACATGGCCCGTGGGAACCCTCCCGCCCACTCACTGCTTACCTGGCAAACTTGCCTGCTAAGTTGCTATTTTTCCTTTTTTTTCCTGACCATCAGCTGTTCTGCTGTGCCGGGAGATTTAGATTAGCTAGGAAGCAGGTAATGGTAGAATTTCTTGCTTCCTAGCTAGTTTTTAGATCTTTGGCTCTGCTTTTAAACACAGCTGAACCTCCCTTAGGACTGAAACTTCTATTATTCAGTGCAGACTCAGATAGCCAATGGCAGAAAGATGGATCTCTGAATAAATCTGTGATTCTGTGAGCAACTCAGTCTGCCTGCCTGCTTTGCCTGATTTTGGGTAAAAGTTGCTTTTTTATAAAAAATTCAATATTTACATACATGGTGTGTCAAGAGTTAATTTTGTGATTTTGCTTGCAAGCAAATTTTATGTGACAGACTCAGGTAGCCAATGGCAGAAAGATAGATGTCTGAATCTGTGATTCTGTGAGCAACTCAATCTGCCTGCCTGCTTTGCCTGATTGGGCCCTGCCCAAGAACCAGTTGTTCAGAAATTTGAATCCCATCCCTGTCTCTGTGTGTGTGAGAGGGGGGGGGGAGAGGTTTTCAATACAGGTAATACTCAACTTACAACAGTTCATTTAATGACCGTTCAAAGTTACAATGGCACTGAAAAATGTGACTTAGGATAATTTTTCACACTAATGACCATTGCAGCATCCTCATGATCATGTGATCAGAATTCAGGTGCTTGGAAATTCATATTTCTCACCATGGCTGTGTCCCAGGGTCATGTGATCACCTTTTGGAACCTTCTGACAAACTCAAGGGGGAAGCCAGATTCACTTAATCAGGTTACTAACTGATCAACTGAGGTGATTCACTTAACAATTGTGGCAAAAAAGTTGTAAAGTGAGGCAAAACTCACTTAACCGAAATGTTAAGCTCAATTGTGGTCATAAGCTGAGGACTACCTGTACTTCATTTGCTTGCTGACATCCACGTTTAGGCATGACTTCTTTTATGAAAAAATGGAAGAAAACTTCAGGCTAACCTTGTCTTTTAGTTTGCAGGCAGGCCGATAAAAAGTGAAATTAGAAAGGTCTTCCAGCTGCATTGAATGGGGCATTTTCATCACTCCCTTCTAACTGATTGGGAGAGATTAAATTAGTGCAATAACTGATAAGAGAAGCTAAACCTTTTGCCAATTTGTTTTGTTTCATTAAATATTTTAAAAAGTCAGGAAACACCTCAGGGATGACTGCCCCCATCCAATTGGAAATGACACTCTGGCATGGGATCAGTGAGCAAATCAGGTACCCAAAGTTCACCCCAGATGTCGCTATAGTTAATGTGTGCCACGTAAATTCAACCAAGACTTAAGTTTAGTATCTGTTACAGCTTTTTCAGAAAAGTATTGCTAAGCTTGTCAGATACTGGCTAGATTTGCAGTACAGAGTAGCTAAAGACTAATGAATTAGTCTTCATTTAATGAATTCGCGTGTTGTGATGGTTGTTTTAAGTCAGAGTAGAAACCCGGGCAGACAGTTTGGTACAAGAGAGCCAGATTAAGCATGTTAGCTAAGGCAGCAGACTAAAAACCGAAAACTAAGATATTTTTAGTTCCGCTTTAGCGGCAAAGCCTGGGTGACCTTAGGTCAGCCCCTCAACTCTTCGGGAAGAGGCGGCGGCAAATCGCTTCCGAACTCTTGGCAAGAAAACGGGAAGGATTACAGCGCAGGTGGCCGCCAGGAGCCACGCGCATATACACTTGAAAAAGAGAGACACCCAGGCCCCAGAAGCATCATCCTGTTCAATTTGATTTTGTATGTTGCGGGAGGACCGACATTTTCTTCTTCCTTCGTCGGGAAAGGGAGCTGCTACTCAACTGCGACTCCGCCGGCAAAACGCTGACCGCTTCACCTCCTTAAAACGAAGCCTCCCCTTACGCTGCACGGGACGACCGCGTGCTCTTCGTGGCACGTGGTTTCAAAGGTGCTCCTAATTGGCTAAGTGAGCCGCCAAACACGACAGATACACCCTCTGATTTGTCGGTAGGGGGGAGGGTCGGTTTCCGTTGGAAGTTAAGCGGAAGGGACTCAGGGGCCAGCATGGCGGCGGTTGTGGTGTGCGGCGCGCGGCGGCTGGCGGGGCGAGCGGCTTTTCTCTTGTCAGGGGCTTCGCGGCGGTAAGAGGGAGAAGATGGAGGCGGTGGTTCTCTTTTCCTGGCAGGGGAGCGCGGCCGGCAAACGCTGGGCGAATATACCCAGTGTCTCTTTTCCAGCAGGGCCCCCCTCGCTCTTTACGAAGTGGGGGACAGCTTCCAACCAAATAAAGAGCTGGGAGAGTGTTGTGCTGAGAGAGCCGGGAGGAACGGCGAGGGAGGTGGCCGGGTTTAGAAAGGCCTGACCTGTAAGTGATGAGGAAACGTGGCTGTCGAGCTGGGCCGTCTTTTTCTGGCGAAGGTGGGAGGGATGAGATGACTCTGTTTTTGCTTTTCGGATTTTCTCGGCGATGCTTCGAGGGAGAATATCTCTGAAAGGTTTTTTTGAAAAGCTTGTGTGTATCAGGAAGCGGTCCTTGCTAAATCTCTTCAAAACTTAATTTAAAAACTCCAAAAGGCAAGCAAAAGGTAGTATTTTAGTTTAGCGGGCAAGCCAGTCTTGTGAATTACTTTCACTCCTTTCTTTTCAGTTTTATCTCATAATTTTACTGGGCAAAATAGGAAAAAGTTTTTTTTAAAAAAAAAAAAATCCCGGACAGTATGTAAAGTAGGAAATTAAATAGTTTGCTGGTCATAGTGAAAGGACCAGAATGTTCATACCATATAATAATTGTTGGTATCTGAGCTTTATTGACAAGTACTGCGGTAAATAAAATAAAGAACTCACTGAAAGAAGATGGAATGAGCCAAAGATTGGATTGAAATAAAGCTTTTGATTTAAAAGCTTATTAACTTAAAACTAAATTAAAAGTTGCCAGATTTATATTTTAAGAATTAACTTCATGTTTGTTTTAGCATTATGTTAAAAGTATTACACCAAAAGCTAAAATCATTCTTCCCATTTTTTAAAATTTTTAAAAGCCGCCTAAAGTGGGTCACAATCACATTTTTAAAAAGGAAAGCTGGATAGTACCAATGAGAGACTGTAAGCAGCCTGGAATAATGTCTGCTTTTACTAAATTAGGCATGGGATTTGAATAACAATTCAGCTCCCTGGGATGGATCTAGACTAACCTTTTGAAATAGAATGATGGGTTTTGGACTAGAATAAAAGCTTTTAGTTGGGATCTACAGTGGTTATGGTAAACTTATCATAGAAAAGTGCTTTATAGATGATGTGAAAACAGGCTTAATATCAGTAATGTTTAACCTTGCTTTAATAGTCAAATCAAGGACAACTAATAGTTTGCCATAAGAGGATACTTGTTGATTCGAAAAGCAAACCCTGCACCTGCAAGAAAAAGGCGATAAGGGTGAAAGTACTAATTTTATTTTAATACAAGGATAAGTGACTTCCCAAAGAGACTTAGTTTGTATACAATTGGCAAAAAAAACATTACTTAAGTGGTTTAGGGTCAGACTGTGTTAAGCAGCATATTACCAGTTTTCCTAATATAATTTTTTTTTCTTGCTCTAAAATATTCTGGATATCTGGATACATATTCTTAATTTTTTAGAATTTTACTGATTCCAATCTTGTTTTAGATCTACTCAACTGTTTTGCACAGTGACCCAGGAGAAAAGCACTGGACCAAATTTGGAAGAACAACAAAGCCAGAGTCACAGTGAACAAAAACCTGATTCTTGCTCTGATGCAAATATATTAACAGAGGAAAAGACTAAACTGGAACAGCAATTAAAGGAAATAACTGTAAGAATCTTAAATTATTTATTGTAAGGAAAACAAAAATTTTGTAGCCTAGAGGAACTGAACTACTTGTCACATGGTGTGTTCATTTTTATAAAGCTAAAAATGGGCATTTGCCAACCAGCAATGGTTGCTTGACAAAATATAAACTGGTAATATTACTCTCTACCTCTATTCCCTTCAATATCATCTTGATCTACTTTGGGGCAGATGAACAGATTTCCAAATGTCAATCTGCAATCTCACAGGTTTTTTTTAATGAAAAATTGCCTGTGAGGACCAGAATCGTTCTTGAAAATAGGGTCTCCTGCTTAAGCAGGGGGTTGGATTAGAATATTTCCAAAGTCCCCTTCACTTCTCTTATTTTGTAATGTTGAAATAAGGATGACACTGAAGGTTGACACTGGGATTAGGCCTGCTTTCTTTGTTTCTAAACTAAAATACTAAAAATCAGATGTGATGGAGATGTATACGTATAGTCGGCCTTCTTTCTGCTCCTAATTTTACTGACTTGTAGAAATGTACAGGTAATCCTTGCTTAAGACCATAATTGAGCCTAGCAGTTACAATCATAAATCATGATGGTCATAAAGCGTGAGTTTTTGGTGGTTAAGTGAACATCATGGTGGTTAAGCAAATCCATTGTTTACTATGGATGGTTTTCTATCTGGGATGGTCCTCTTCCACTGAATGTGCAGCTTTGGGAGGAACACACATGGAGTTGTGATAAAGGAACGGGATACGCCTAGTCAGCCAGATCAACCCTGGCAGTCAATAGGGTGGCAGATGTTGCAGCCAGATGGCCCTCACATCCACTATGTCAGTTTTGCTGGGAACCAGCAAAAAATGCCAGTTCTCAACAAAAGTGTCATAATTTGCAGTCATGTGACCAAGGAACACTGCAAATGTAATTGTGAGTCAGTTGCTGAGTGCCCAAAATACAGTCATATGATTGCAGGGGAGTGGCCATTAGAACTAAGTACCTTTTGGGGAAACCATTGTAAGTTCAAATATTACTAAGTGACCAGGTGTAAGTTTAGAACTACCTATAAATTTATTTTTCTTTTGGTGGTATATCAAAGTTTCATCCAAAATATAAACATTGGTTTTTATGATAAGTTAGGACTGTTAATGAAGAATCTGAGTTCTGGAAGACAATTTAATGCCTTACACATAGCCCTCAACATCACCACAATTGGGAATGCAACTTCTTCAAATTATGGTTAACTGAGGACTGCCTGTATCTGCAGTTAGGGTGAGTTTTTATACAGATAGTGCTCAGCTGTCGGCAATTTATTCAGCAATTGAAGTTACCATGATTTTGAATGAATTGTGGTTATGACTGGTTCCCAGAGTTCCAGCCATTCCCCCCCCCCAGTCATGTGATCACAATCAGAACCTATGGCAGCTGGCTGACACAATCAGTTGTAGCACTCTGCAATCAGGTTGCTGTTTGCAATCTTTCCTAAGAAAATAATGGGGAAGTTGACAGGGAACATCACAAGTCACTCAAATAAGTCTCCTCCACCAACCTTTCTGTGCTTGGAATACACTGACCACCTATGCGTTCCTTCACAACCTCCCCAACTGTACCACACTTGTGTGTATTTTTTCTCCAATCCTTGCTACAGTTTCCTTTCACCCTCCCAGACTTGCATTGTGTCTTTCTCACAAATTCCCCAAACCACACTGCACCTTTCTCATATCATCCCTTTGCTCTCTCCACAACATTCACACCTCCCCTTACCCTCATGCACCCACTAGACCATTGGTCGCCAACCAGCGGGCCAGGGACCACTGGTGGTCTGTGGGGAAATGTCACCCCCAAAAGCAATTAATCCAGGCTGCTGGGAACACAAGGCTATGCCACCCACATGGCCCGCAGGAACACAAAGCTTGCGTCACTTGCATTGTGAACAAGAGGTAGTGATGGGTGGGGTGGGAAAGGCAGAGGGGTGCAACTTGCCCCATGCGCCTCACCTGGCCACCAGGCTGCTGCTTTCTTCTACTTTTGGCTGCATGCAAGGAAAGCAGCAAAAGTCTTTCTTTCTCTCCCTCAAGCTCTGCCAGAAATGAGTCTTTGGGACCCTGCAAGGCATCCTGCTCCAAGAGGCTGCACCAGTGCGACAAGTCTCATAAAGACTTATTTCTGGCGGAGTTTGGGGGAGAGAAAGAAAAATTTCTGCATGAAGCCAAAAGTCTCTCTTTCTCTTCCCGCCCCCTTGAGAATGGAGCTGGAGACAGTATCCTGTGATCTCAAATAAAGAAGGAAAATGGGGTGGGGAATTTTCCTGCAGACTTTTTTGGGGAATTTTCCCAGGGTTTCTGCTGCTCTCTGCAAAGACCCTGGGAAAACGTCAGCAAGCCATCATCAGTCAAAGTTCATATTAGTAGTCCGCAGGATTTAAAGTTATGAGTTTGGTGATCCCTGAGGTCCAAAAGGTTGACGACCCCTGCACTACACTCTTGATACCATCCACAGCCCACACCTTCATGCACGCTGCCTGACCCTCACCTTCTCCCTGAGCCTTGCCTTGCTTCCCTTGCATCCCCTTACCTACATCCCTAGGCGCACCCTTGCTATGTGCCTCCCCTATAATCCTTTGTATCCTTCTCCACCTGGCAGCAGCCCCTTAACTGCTTGCAAGCTGCCTGGGATTTTGCAACTTCCTGCCAGCTCTCTGCTGACTTGGTTTTGGGAAGCTGGCAAGATGTTGCCTCATCTAACAATCGTGGGATTTGTTTTAACCTCAGCAAGTCTGAATGTAGGAATTGCAAGAATTCCAGCAATTGCCAACATAAATTGAGGATTACCTATATTATGTGAAGTGATGATGAATGAGTTGAATGAATATTAAATCAAATCAACCATTAAACTCATAGATCAACCATAAAGTCAAAATCGGCCATAAACTATAACTTGGTGTGTGCAAAACAAAGCAACAGATTATTCTGTGCAATATAAGAAGCGATTTATTATTTCTTTCCCATCATCCTATTTAACATACAAATTGGTACAGTAGTAGTTTTATATTTTAGCCAGGTGTGACCAGGTGTGAGCAGTATTCACACTACATCCTAAATCATAACAAAGCATTAATGAGAGTGGATTAATGAGAATGTATGCATGCTTTTAATTAATTAACCAGGATTGAAAGTTTAGCATGTCATCTGAACTTATAGTAAGACGTATTTGGGACTTTCAAAATAATCAGAATAAAATATAATTAAAAACCACACTGACAACTTAAATGAATATAAATGAAGATGGTATGATCAAGGAGTGCTATAATTTGTCTCATATATTTCATCTTGTGTTACAACACTTCTTTTTCTGTTTTAGGATAAATACAAACGTGCTCTGGCAGATGCAGAAAATCTGCGGCAGAGAACTCAGAAATTGGTAGAAGAAGCAAAGTTATATGGTACATACATACACATTTTGCTTATTGGGATTAGAATGCAGATGCAAGCCCAAACATTTTAAATCTTACAGATTTTGACTAGATTTTGAATGCTCTTGGTTCAATATGTGAAATCATTTATTGTAAATTGTTAATCATGGTCCATGGTTTTGTACAAGCAAACCAATTATAGTTATAAATTATACCATATTTACTAGTGTTTTTTTTTTAATTCATGCAGTGGTCATTAATTAAAACTGTCTGTTTAGTTTTCTTCTGGGACCTTTATCAATGCTTGATTTTCTTTTGTTTGGGCTTTGTAACAGTGGGAAACAAAAAGATGTGAGAGCTGGATTCTTTATTTGAAAGCAAAAAAAAAGGAAATAATTTATGAGATGACAAACTGCATTTGCCGAATATCCTGTAGCAAACATCACACCTGATATTCTAGAGAGGAAAAAACAGAGTGCAGCTATTTTACCATATAGAAGCTGTTATAATTTGGAGCTAATAGTGAGTTTGGAAAGACTTAAATGATTGGTAATGTTCTCATAAATATAATACTCATTGATTGGATCTATATTTACTGTAGTTCCATTGAACGAAGGTGCTTAAATTAGTTTTGATAAACTTGTTCTGATGTGCAACATGATCATGATTCATTCTGGATCTAGCTGCTTCTCAGCTTCAATTTATTATAGTAAAATATAGTAAAAATGCATTTTCAAACGCCATTTTTGCATGTGATTGAAAAATTAATCTGACTATAAATTTACTATGGTTTTGCATTTTAGGAATTCAGAGTTTCTGCAAGGACTTACTGGAAGTTGCTGATGTTTTGGAAAAAGCAACCGAGTCTGTTCCCAAAGAAGAACTAAAAGATGAAAACCCCCATTTGAAAAATCTTTATGAAGGTCTTGCTATGACTGAAGTTCAAATACAGAAAGTGTTCAAAAAACATGGATTGGTGAAATTGAATCCTCTTGGAGCCAAATTTGATCCTTATGAACATGAAGCATTATTTCAAGTCCCCACAGAAGGGAAAGAACCGGGCACTGTAGCTTTAGTATCAAAGGTTGGCTATAAATTACATAGCCGTACTTTAAGGCCTGCATTAGTAGCTGTTGTGAAAGAACAATAGCAACCTGATCTGAAAGAATTAATAAGCATTGCATAGATAATTAGTTAGATTTCTTAATGATGCTCTGTTATATTGAGGTGATTCACCAAATGAGGTGGGATACAGAGGAAAATGATGGATGATAAAGCAACGTGAAAAATGTTTTTAAATGAATGTATATAATGTGGAGAGAATGCAAATTACTAACATAAATTACAACATCAAATTATACATAGTACCTTTTCATTAATGTAAGTCCTCAAGGATAACCTATCTAATCGAGCAACCAGAAGAATGCCATATTGGTTATTTCCACATTGAACTCTTTTGAACTGTTGGTGTCATGTTGTTTATGCTTCTATTTGAGCCCTATCCTTAAGCTGAGACTGAGCTTTGATGGAACAAAGATGGCAAAATATACATACACAATCAATAATGGTGTCCTATGCGTGCAGATAACTGGAAACCATTCCTTGTTGATGCCACTTAGCTATTTCATAAATGCTTTAATTCATATAAAGGTGTCTTAAAATAGTATGATGCTAATGGAATATGCAATTACTCTAAATACTGTTAACTGCTTGCATTTGAATTGAGAGTTGTTTTGCATCACTAAGAAGACACTATTGGAAAGAAGCAAAATGAACAGGTGTAGATGACTGACATGCAGCTAAATATGAATGCCTTTAACACTGACTTGCTGGAGAGGGTCAGCTTTCATATTAGATTTCACTATTTCTGCAAGAGCACAGCAATCTTTTCTTTTGTCTTTCATGTCATTTCACAGCAATCTTGTTCCTCAGTTTTCTTCCCAATACTGTTGATACTTCCTAATGAAGTTACTATGCCCCATCTCTTATATTTTTCCTGAAGAGTCAGAAATATAAAATGGACATTTCTTTGTATGAATGGGCTGTACATAAGTATTTGGTATATGCAGAGTGGGATCGATAATTTTTAACTGTAGTATCTTGCATTTAATTTTGACAATGACAATAATGAAAGTTCATTATTATAGTTGATATATTGTTCGTATAAATTGGAATGAGAGGTCACATATGATAAAAATCACACAAAATGAGGTTTTGTCAGAAGGCTGAAGAGGTACTTGCTACAGGAACAGTGATATTTGTACTTCTGTTACTTCATTAGTAAGAAAGTGTTAAATGGAACTGTAATTTGTGACTTTTGTATTCATTTGTGTATGCCATTTTTCCCTGGCTATTGTCATAAAATGGAAGCAGCAGAAAGTGAAAACATATTTTAATGTTAGAATATTTAGTATATTGTTTTATGATAATCTTGGAAGAATTTTGTTATTTTTTTTAGATTAAATTGTGCCTGCATACATTATGTTGCCAGCCCCTACGTGTACAAAAAGCTATTTGCGGAAGATACATAAGATTTGCAGAACGATATAGATCTATCCTTATTGACTGCAAGTATATTTTAGTATTATCCTTCTTCTGAATTGTGTACTAAATTGGCATGTGTTAGCAGGAAAAAAAAGACATATGCAAGGAAGAGTGAGGAAAAAAGTAATCCTGGAAGCTGTTACTTGTAGTGAAGGTGCTAGAAATTCTAATGGAAAGCATATTCAGTTATGCATCTGCCATATTCACTTTAAAAAAAAACTGTATATGGATAGTATGCATTCAGATTTGCAGAAAGATGCTGTGTTTAAATTATAGTAATTTTGTTGGCTTCTGTTCATTTAGGGATTCACAGATGCATACAATTTATTCTGAACTTTTCCATGCAGCCACATATTCTGATTTCTAAGATTGAGAATACAAGAAGCTTTAATGTTGTAACTCAAAGCACATTTACTAGTAACTAAGTTTCACTGACAAATGAACACTTATTCTTCTGCTTTACATGTAGTAAATTATGCATTCAAAAGATGGTTTATGAATAAGCTCAACAAAAAACTATCGAGGCTCATTCTCCAGCAGAGTAGATCAAAAGTACTGTTTTAGTAATGGAGATTTTATCAGAATCTTGTCCCAAAGGTGCTTTTTCAAGAGGCAATTGGACTTTGTTTTTTTTTCTTTGAAGATGTTTCTCTTCTCACCCAAGAAGTGCGAAGCTTCTTGGATGAGAAATGAAATGTCTTCAAAGAAAAGACCAAAGTCCAGTTGCCTCTTGAAAAAGCACCTTTGGGACAACCGTGACTTGGATGACCATTGATATCAGAATCTTGCCTACATATAACTGAGATTGTTCATGCCCAAGAATATAAGAAAAATCTCCCTCTTTCCTCTTTAAGTAGTTTGTAAGGGGAATATGGGAAGCATGGGTATTATAAAGTCCACTAAGAAAGTAAAAACTTGAAGCTAGTGTTGAAAAAAGTAGCAGGAAATACAATCCTATGCCTTTTGTCAACTGCTACATTGCTAAAAACATCTTGAAGCACACAAAGCATCACTCACTAATCACGCTTTGTGATCACCTGTTATATCCATGTGTGGCCTGGTAATATATGTTTCCTATTTTGGGATTCTTGCCCAAGACTGGGAGTGTTTAAACAAGTGTATTTAAAATACAAACCTGAAGAACAGCATGGGTTGTTAAGTCACAAGCAATGTACAGTTGCTTAAGAATCTTGTGTCAGTATGTACCAATTCTATTCTCATAAACTCGTATCATTCCCATTTTTCAGTTGATATATATTTAAATAAAACCACACAAAGATTCTTCCTTTCATTTTTGTATAGAAGTGGAACATTAGTACATACATTAAAGCAGTTCATCACCACTGTTTTACAATCAGAGTGCCTGTTATTTGCTGAAAATCATTTTCAATGATTCTATGCAAGCTAGGTTGTGGAGCTAGTCCACTCATTTTAATCATGTGGTGTGGTGTGCTGTGTAAACCATTTTATAATATTCAGTTTTGCATTCTCTGCTTTAGTGGCAATATATCAGGATGCCTTGGCTTGTGAAAAAAATGTAACCAACATTTACAATATGAAATAGTAATTTGTGTTTTAAGTTCATTATCCAAGATTTAGTAGGACACATAAGCAGCCCAGTCTGATGGTCTTGTTTAACAATAAATACTATTCAGTGTAGTGGGGCATACTTCCAAGTAAATGTGTGAAGATTAACAACTTTAAACCAGTATGTCTAAAATACAAGTTTGTGCAGCAGAGGTAGAGTTCGGTAAGCATTTTCAGAGTTTCACATCTCACTTCTGATACACTGGTAAAACAAACCACTTCACTCATAGCGTGTGGTTTTAAGGTAACATGTAAAGTGGTTCATAAAATAAGATCTAACATGTACATGATCCATTACAGAAAAATCCAGTTGTTGAGTGAGTTTTTTACGAGATCTTGGATGTTTAAAAAAAGCTGATAACTAGATCAATGGCGAATGTTGGTTCCTCTGTTGATACTGATGCGATTTCAAAGTAGGCAAGATTTAAGAAGCATCCCTGGATATCCAACCACTTTCTGTCAAAAAATTCAAAATCCTTTTTTTTAGTATCTTATCCAAGTAACTAGGAAGGCGACTTTTTGAGGGGATGCCCTGCCTTTTTTGGAGATGATCTTTAATAATTATAGTCTTCACAGTCACATAGCGTGCTGGACTCAGATTAATAGAGTTACAAAGTACTTTCTCTCGGTCAGATAACAGTTCAAAGCCAGGAAGATTTTCAATTGCAGAGAATTCTCCATCTTTACCCTCCTCCTTTCCTCTTTTAGAAGTACCAATGTTTTTATTTTCTTTCCTTTTCTCTCGTTTGTGTCTAGCTGCTTCATATTCTGCAGACTCTTCCATTTTCGTTATGCCATTTCGGCGATAACGCTGAAGTTCTCTTATTTTTGTTCGAAGCACCTTTTCCTTGTGCAGATTTTCAAAGAAATCATCAAATTCTTTGCAAGACATAAACTGGTAAAGAGACCTCAATTTTAACCTGAGTTCTTTTTCTTCTTTTGTAGTTTTGCGTTTTGAAGGTTTTTCTTTATCTCTCCTATCCTTGCCTAAAAATGCAGGAACCAAGTTGTAGTCACGAGCAATGTTTTTTCGCCGCTGCCTCTCTTTCAGTTTTCTTACATACATATCCACATGAGCTCTTTTTAATTCTATTTCCACATCGTCGTCATCATAATTAACTGACAGGCCACTAATTAGAGTCTCAGCATCTTGATCATACTCAATCTCATAATCATCTCGAAGTGGCATGTATCCAAGCTGTTGTTGTTCAGCCACTGATATATCTAAAGGTGGCAGAGGCATGGTAAGGCTAGGAGAAAGTGGACCACCACTCGGGCAGGTATGATCAGTCACTCTATTAGGAATACTATCAGGAATGCAGGCTTTCCCAAGATTTCCATGTATATACATGCTCACATAGTGTTCCATAACTTCTTGAGGTGTTCGTGATGCTCCAACATGAGTAGCCATATCTTCCTACAATAAAGAAAAGCAATTTTTGAAGTATCTGTCTCAAGAACATGCATGTGCTAGATATAGATACAACTATTACGTTTGTCACGACCCAACATTTCACATTGTTTTAAATACAGCCAATGACTATGAATTTCAAAATACTAGTGCTTGTTCATATATATTTAAGTTCACTGGATTCAAACAGAGAAGGTTCTAAACAAGGAATTTTATGTAAAACTTTCCCCATAAATTCACTTTTTTCTAATCATGTTTAGAACTGGAACTTTGTAATCAAGTATTTTCATAGATCTAGTTTTTTAAAATAGGGATATGCGGTGCTTGAGTGAAAAGATGCTTTGAATCATGTATAGAATGCATCGTACCTGTCAGCAACACCTAAACATGCTTTACCTGAATCTGTTGCAGCTGCAAATGGAAGTCACACAACCCAAAGAAAAAGCAGTTTTAAGAAGATGCTGGCACATACTATAAGAATGATGCTGAAGCACATTTTCTCCCATAGCTCAGGCACGTTAAAAAACTTTATTAAAAATTCCCAAATGAATTGAAATGTTCTCAAAAAAGCCAATCTTAAAATACAAAGTTTTAATTTTATGCTTGATAAAAAAAAGATACTAAGTAGAGTCAGAAGAAATGACCCAAGGAAAACCAATCTCCTGTCCTGCAACCTCTATATGTGACTAATTTTATTCTGGAGCATCCATTAAATACCAGAGCTCGTCTTGGAAGGGTTTTCCTTCTGGTTCTATTAACAGAGATGAGTATGATGATGAATTAAATTAATATGCAGGCAGAAAATGCCATAAGGCAATAATAATATAAATGCTATAAAAACTGTATCTTGTATATATTTAGCAGAGATGATAGATATTCCTATCAACATGCTATTATAATACACTTCAATATAAAGAATTTATAAGCAATAAGATTGTGTGATGTTCTAAATTCAACGTTTTACATTTTTTAAAAAAATCTAATTTTAGAATGCATATGTATGTCTATGTATGTAAAGGAGTTCCTACAGATTTTACTCTGCTAATCATTGCTAACTATAGGAGGTGGTTTTGACTTTTATCACACACACACACACACATAATATATATAAAATACAAGCTTGATTGGCATAAGGAATACCCAGCAATACTGGTCAATTCTTATTAGGATTAGCTATGAGAAACATGTTTTTAAACCCAGCAAAGGTCCTTAAAACAAGGCAAACTTAAAATTAACAATCAAATTACAATATCAGCAGTATGTTCGAAATATAAAATCTTAAGCATAAACCAAGTTACCACTTCAGGAAATCACATTAAAACTTTAGTTTTATTAATACTATCAATATTTTAGAAAAATACTGAGAAGTGTTGTGGCTTAGTGATGAAGACGCTTGTGCCCCACTTGGAAGGTCGAGAATTAATCCTAGAACAGTGCAGATATTATCTCCTAGAGCACAAAGAAAAAATATCTACTGTGAACTCAGCGTGGTGTCAGGAAGGGCATCCAGCCAATAAATGCTCAGCTCCATCCAGTCATCCCAACTCTATCCCGAATTAAGTGACTGCATGGATATAAAAAGGGATGTTTATTTTTATTTTAATAATACTGTTATAAATCCATCTTTATTTGGAGTACTTTTAAAAAATGTTACGTTGCCCTTCAGAAATAAGATTACTGTAACTTTTATATACCATTAATCTTAAATGTTGATCTTAAGTATAGCAGAGAAAGTGTTATAGCATGTGTTCACTATAAAAAAAATTACAGATGCAAAATTTACCTGAGGACCTCATAGGGTCAATTGGATGTTATGGAACCAATTTTTTAAAAATATCTCAGTCCCAATTCACTTAAAGATACTTTATATTGGCTGTGTGAACTACCTGTGATCTTCTGTTTAAAAGTTATTTTTACTAGTTAATTAACCACA